TAATCTAATCTAATCCAATCCAATCCAATCCAATCCAATCCAATCCAATCCAATCCAATCCCAATCCAATCCAATCCAATCCAATCCAATCCAATCCAATTATAAATTTAAATTCATATTTATTCTGATTCTGGTAGATTAAACCATGATGACTATTAACTAATGCCATATAGTTTTCTCACATGGATTTGTCTAATGTTGTTAAAATCCATTAGGATTATTGGCCATCATTGCTTTATTTACACATTGATGACAATGTGATTAGGTGATGAATTACAGCATTCAGAATACTAATTGGGGAGGAATAAGGTCGCCACAAGATTTTACAACCTTCAGGATGTTGTAGATTCAGGATCAATCTCTAATGTTTAATAACTAAAAGCCTGTTTGAGCAACCATTGGACTCATTAAAGCCATGGATAAGAAGCTGGCAGAATTCCTTTGCTGGTCAAGTATATCTGTCATTATGTTCAGAATTCAGCTTTTAACATACTACATGCATAAAGCGATGTCTGTAATGCTGTGACAAAACTTGATTTTGCTTGTGGTTGGTATTTCCATTGGCTTTGGAATCAACGTAAGAAAGACTGCCCAAACAAACTGTTAGCCATGCAAATAGATTTCATGATTGAGTTGTATACCAACTTTGGTCTAGCTCAGGGCATAAGTTGATTTTTTTTCTTCTGAAGGGAAAGTTATGAACAGGTTAAACATCATGTATCTCTTGAAAAAGTGAGATTCCAAACTTATCAATTTCTCAAAAATATACTTTAGGTCATGTTTTGTTTATATAAAGATAAACAATCATGTTGCTGTTGCTATGCAATTCATTGAAGTTTGCTCAATGAGAATTAAACATTTATGGTAAAAAGAACATAACCAGTGCCCTGAAGACCCCCAGACCATCTAATCTAGCAGTCTGTTCTCACAGTAGCCAACCTGCATGAGGAAGCCTCTTAGTCTTCCAGCAGATGGTGTTCAGAGGCAGTCACACTGCCATCAAGGTTAATAGCCTTTCATCTCCATGACTTCCACAAATTGGTCCAACCTTTTTTTGAAGCCAGCCAAGCTGGCAGCCAGCACCACATCTTGTAGTAGCAAATTCCAAAGTTTAATTAAGCATTGTATAAAAAAAAATCCTTTTATCTGTCCTGATTCTTCCAGGATTCAATTTCATTGGGTGACCTTTGGTTCTAGTATTTTGGGAAGAGGAAAAGAGCTTCTCCTTTTCCTCTTTATCCACATCATGCAAAATTTTGTACACCTCAATCATATCCTCTATCATTTGTCAGCTTTCTAGACTATCACTGGTCTGAGATGGGTGGCTATATAAATGGAATAAATAAATAAAAATAAATAAATAGATGTGAGGCAGACAGATTTTTATTGGAGAAAGATGTTACCTGCAGTTGTCACTTTCTCTCATGTTGACTGAAAAAAAAATTGCTTTTCAGATACCATACTTGATGCTTCTTGTTGCAAGTTGACACCAAACACGAAATCCCTCTGTTTAATAGATATAGGATATTTTATGAACAGCAGTGGCCTACCACTTCTCAAGCCAGAAAGGAATGTGGATGTCATTATTCTTCTGGATTATGAGCTGGGTGGAATGTTAAAGGTGAGAAATATTTTCACTACTACTTTCTTTTTGGGTGCTTACAGCATGGTGAAATCTCAGCCAGGGTACATTAGGATTTCTCAGATTCATAATTATAGGTCAGCTAGAATGTGTACCACAGAAGCCAGGTTTACCAACATGGTGTAGTAGTAGAACAAAGATAGTTTCCAACTAATAACTACCCAAACAAAAATTAAAAAGAATCATCCATATTTTACTACAGAAAGTATATGATAGTTGCCTATATTTGAACATTCTTTTCAGGTGCTGGCACAGATGGTGGCGGGGCAGAGTTCAAGCAACTGAGTCAAATAAGAGTGTTCTTAACGTGAGATAGTCTGGAAGAAGAGAGCCCCAAGTGGGTCTCTCCAAACTGTAGAACAGCTTGTTAAATTCCATAGTATTACATCTGTTAGGAAAGGATTAACAATAACATTGTTTTACTGTGATTATGTGGCAAACAGTCAGTTCTCTCTAAAGCTCCCCAACATCATCTTTCTTTCTGGATTAGATCCCACTGTGTCTGTGTTTTCCTTGCAGTCTAATAGGAGCTCTCATATGAATGTGGAAAGTATGTAGGGGGTCTGAGGAAAAGGAAAGACAATAGCACAGAGTGAAACAGCCTTCTCCAATTCTGCTTTCCTGAAGCAACGTAGCATCTATTCTTTTGTGAGTTAAAAAAAAAGGTTGGAGAATCAGTTGGGAGTTTCTCTTGACTCAGTTATTGTGGTCCAAACTTCAGCTGGATTGGAATCAGGCCCTTTCATTTAGATTTTCCTTTCCTCTTTCTCCTTACTTTTACATGTGTACGGTATTTGTAATTTACTTGTACAAAAGTTGCTCTCAAAGTAGCTGAGAAAACAGAACTGCATATTCTAGGTATGTATTTCTATTTTAGCACTGCATCTTCTACACTGCTCATCATAGACAGTTACAGATCATTTGGTATGAGGTGCTACTGATTTACATACAGTAAGAAAAATGCATATATTTGGGAGGTTTTTTTGGTGTCTCCTTCAGCAAACAGAGAAGATGGCCAAATACTGTGAAGTCCAAGGTATCCCCTTTCCAAAGGTTCAAATTAGTGAGGAAGAGCAAAAGAATATGAAGGAGTACTACATTTTCTCAGATGAAGACAACCCCAAAGCACCAATATTGCTTTGTTTTCCACTAGTCAGTTGTACCTTCAAAGAATACTCAGCACCAGGTAAATTCAGCGGATACATTTGTTATAAGATTCTCTAATTTGAGCATTTGCATAGTTTCTTCAGTGTTTTCTTTAATCCACACATGTTGACTGAGATCCCTTCTATAGTGGCATTTCCCAAGTATAAAGAAAACTACAGTTTACATTTAAATTGTGATGATTAATATGTATGCATACACAAACATTGTTACTTTTTCTGAATATTAATCAATTAGAGCAGCATTTTTCAAACTTGGTAACTTTAAGGTGTGTGGACTTCAATTCCCAGAATTCCTCAGCCAGCACGTCCATACATCTTAAGTCCACACATCTTTTTGTTTATAATAACTTTATTAAATTTTAAAAGAAACACAATATGAACTAACAAGAACTAATACTGAAAGAGAAAATAAGAGAAAGAAAAAAAGAAAAAAATTAGAAAAAAGAGATAGTAAAGATCTAAAGTGCAGAAAGCGAGAAAAAAAGAAAAGAGACAAAAGAAAAAAAAATTGACTTCCGACTCTCCTTGCAACAGATATAAGTAACAATAGACATAAACTCTTGCTTTAAATTCACAAGTCACTTCCATTATTTCTGTTAACCCATATTATTTCTAATCATCAAATTCATAAAATAGTTTCATTTTTTTCTGTTCCCCTCAAAAAGTCCAAAAAAGGTTATACATACAAAAACCTTATAGTTATTTTTATATATAAGAACAAAAATCCATAACTTTTATAACAAATATATTTTAACCTTAATCAAAAATAGGTCCATTTTATAATCTAACTTATTATTTGCTGTAAAAAAAAAAAATCTCATTATAAATCCTCCTCTGTATATATACAAGCCTTACATTTGTTATTACAAACTCAGGGATGAAGTGACATGTGGAACCTATTGTTTGATCATTGCAGAAGATTGAAACTGCCCTGGGGTTTAGTGCAATTGGATTGAAACTGCCCTGAGGTTTCCAAAAAGCACAGATGGGCAACATTTACGGTGTTGTTTAAGGTGTTGGAAGGTTACAATTCAGCCCTTTATCTTCTGGAGGTCATCCAGGGATGCCTAGAAGGTGTATGGCTGAAATTTTGAGGCCTTCTTTTTGTTGGGCTGTGGATGGAGGCAGGAGGCCTCAAAACAAGCCAATTCCTTTCGCACCAAAATTTGGCTCTTTTGCCCCTGAATTTTACAGATCATGGGGTCCTATGCAGTCACATACATGGAGTCACATACAGTCCATGAATTGTTCATTCTGGCCAGTAGATTCTACTTGTCTTCCTTATTTTTCCAAGCAGCTAAACAATAAAAAAAAAGAAAAATAGCTGCTTAAAAATATCATAAGCAGTTAATGTGAACATGGGAATGTAGCAGAGTGAAGAGGGTAGATACACACAGCTGTCCATAATGGACCTTGCATAAGATTCCACTTTCCTCTTTATTAAAGTCCAATGAGAATATATGGAAAGAATGTTGAAACAAAGATTCTCAGTACTCTGCTTCAGTTGCAGCTTGTTAACTGGAGACAAGCAGATAGGAACACCTCAGAGTAAGGCATTCATACTTTTGAGCTCAAGGCTGCAGCTGTAAAAAAGTATGAGATGGGGGCTAACCAGTAATCAGACACAGTAGGCCTTCCAACCACACCAAGACAAGATCAGAGGCAAATAGCTTTAAATTGTCTTAAAAGCCTGTTCTAAAAATTAAAGAGAAGTTACTTGGGTTGGTGAGATGCTCTTAAGTATCATTTCCCAAGATTACTCATAAAATCATATAGTATATATGCATTATAATAATTTTCATATCCTGTGCAAAAGCTTCTAAGCATAAGAGTACTTCTGGAAGGCTTCAACCCCACCCCACCGTTGGCATTTCAAAATGTGCAATTGTATTTCTCTGGGATGTGTTCAGACTGAACCAGATGTGCAAGTACAGGAGAAAAGGACAAGTTGCCTAATCATTGCTCCAGCGGTTTTAGGGTTTTTCAGCTCCAGGTCATGCAAGAAACAACTGGCATAGCTGTAATAGCACCTAATTTCAACTATACCCTGAAATACCTATTCAGTTTGTTTTTAAAAAAGAACCTTCTGTTGTGTTGCCACCCAGAACTACATTTGGAAAGCAATTCCCAGCCCTGCAAGCTATTTATGGCTATTAAAAACCACCCTTTAAATACTTGAAAGGTTACCCATGGTCTCCAGCTTCAAGTGTGACATATTTGGAAAGAGTCCAAGCTAAATTCATCAGGGCGGTCCTGCAAATGCCCAGATGTGTCTCCAATGCACAATTACGCTTGGAAACAGGCACGATAAAAGTCGAGTCAAAAGCGCGCCTAGCTTCGCTGAATTTTTGGCTAAAAATAAAGCACTACCCAGAGGACCTAGCTCCACTTGTCCTTCAAGATAAATTTCAATCCTTGTGGAAAAAGGATATCGAGCTCAATCTCTCTAAGTTAGGCTATTCTATGGCTGGGATTCTAGCAATGGAATATGAGGAGGCAAGAATGGCCATAAAGTAAAGGACAGAGGATATAGAACGTCAAGCAGATTTAGGGAAGGTTCCATCCTTTTTATCTCCGCCATGTAGCAAGTTTATTGTCACTGCCTCC